CCTACATACTTCAGCATGCATTTTTTTAAATGAACTTTTTTTTTACAGAATAATCACGGTGCCATTTTCATACTAACACACTTACTATCATTCCTTGGTATGATAGGGAACATTGAAATAGCCTCAGTTGTCTCAAAAGTGTCTGTTTGCTTCCTCGTGGTATCATTTAACCCAGAAGGCAGCAAACTTTTTCTGAAAAGGACCAGATAGTAAATATTTTCGGCTTTGCTGGCCAGATGATCTCTGATCTCTGCCATTGTGCTTGAAAGCCACAGTAGACACTGTGTAAAGGATTGGGCTGGGTTCCAATAACATTTGATTTACAAAAGCAGACAGCAAACAGAAATTGGCCTGTGGGCTGCAGTTTGCCAACCCCTGATTTAACTCGTTACTGTTCTCCATGTAATCAAAGCTTGATTAGATTCAGGGGCAATTTTTTGGTGGCAAAAATACTTCGTGGGGAATCCTGTGTGCTTCATCCCACTTCCCGTCCTAAGGTGCAGACTGTCTGTTGCCCCACTGTTGGTGATGCTAAGAGTACTACATGAATACAGATGGGTAAGGCCTGGTCCCTCCACTGCAGACTCTCTACCAGCCTTTTGTCTAAAGGTTTCATCCATTATGTTTATTGATTGAATCAATTATTTCTTTAGAATAACAAAGTTTGAACCACGTGGGTCCACTTGTATTTAGACTTTTTTCAGTACACATGTGCCATAGTGCTACATGATTCAAGGTAGGTTGAATCCTTGGATGTGGAACTGCAGATATGATGGGCCACCTGTTAAGTTATACTTAGATTTTTGACTGCATGGAAGCTGGCACCTCCAACCCTCACACTGTTCAAGAGTCAACTGTTGTTAACTTTATATTATTTCATCTACTTTCATTAACCAGAATGTTTCTGTAAGGAAGAACTTTCCAATATCAATGACTGATTTCAGTTATCCAGAAATATAGTTTGTATAGTAACAGCTTTTACAATCAGAATATGTGCTAATTCCTTCTTTCCTTTTAATTATGAAATTTTAGTATAAAGAATTGGTCTCTGGGTCACTTTCAATGATTTGTAGTGGGTTGGTTTTTTGGGGGAAGTGAAAGGGGCCTTTCTTTTTTTATTAGGTTGGGTTTCTTTTTGTTTTTTGGTTTTTTTGGTATGACAATGAACTCATAGATTTTTTTTTAATATATCTAATGATCATCTGTCATTTGCATGTATTATTCTTTTTGATACTCGAATTTTTTCATCCTTGGCCAATGGAGCCCCTTTGTTTTGGCTCCTGTTAGACTTAATAGCTTCTTTCTTTCTAGCCTGACAAGTTCCAGGGAGAAATTTTTAAGAACAGAGTAATGATACTGTCTATAATTATGTTGAAATTTTAACAAAACAAAGAACAAACAAGCAAGTAAATCATATGCATAAAAAATCAATAAGAAGTATGCCAAATAATTAAATATTTTTTCTGGCCAGTACAATTATACGGAAATATTAACCCTTTGTTTTTTCTTTACTTCTTTGTACTCTTTTGTACTCTAGATCTTCTGTTATAATTTAAAAATTTATTAAAATTTTAACAACCCAATTGAAGATTTTTTTAATTTAGCGTGTTTCTTTAGTGCATTTAAAATAATAAAAATTATTTTAAAAGATACTTATACATACTTTTTCAGAATTATAAATAGAGTAATTGTACAGTTACTAACTATATCCCATATTCTCAAAGTGCTTGCAAAGAGAGAGGAAAAATAGATTTAAAAAATCATTTTTAACAACCTCCAGGCTACAAAATTATATTAGATGCCTGATTTCTCCCATCTGTCTTTATAGACCTTAAAAAATTATTTTTTTTGAAAACAACTTGGAAACCAGTTATTAGTATATTTCTTATAAAGCTCTGTAGATGGGCCACGACTTCTGGAGGTTCCTGGATCTGTGGGTATTCTATTATCCTGAATCCTGTGTGTTGACCTACTCAAAGTAGGTAAACAAGAACAACACAACAAAAGACCCAGTATAAATCAAAGAGGGCATGTAAATTAGTCTCCTTCACTGCGGCCGGTGATAATTTCGATGTGGCCCCTAATGAGGGTCCCTTTAACCTGAGTTCATGGGTCCAGGATGGCTTCAGATGATCACACTGTGTAAAACATGAAAGGTGATCCTACTGCATGTGTATTGTTTAAATGAAGTTATATTTACCATGAATAATAGAGAAAGAAATGTAAAAACTCAGGAGTTATGTAAGAGCTAGTGTGGGTGTGTGTTTAAGTGCATTTTAAAAGAAAAACTCCTTTCTCGCCAGCAGAACTGACAGTCTCCTACACCCCCTTCCTAAAGCCTTGGAGCGGAGCTAAAACCAGGCTGAAATGTCCTTACTTCTCTCAGGCATTCTGGAAATTTGAAGCAACCCACACTTTTTGGGTAAATCATTCAGGATTTCTGCCGTTTCCTGCCCAAGGAACAGTTTCTTCATGATGTCATACTGAAATTTTTGTCATTGATAAATTCTTTATGCTAACATAATTAACAAAAGCTGTAATTACAAATATTGCACTTAGAAGTCTGTGGATTCTACAGGACAAATTCAACAGTCAGCTTAGCAGCAGGAAACAGAAGGCACACTCAAAGGGTTTAACTGAAGCAGGCGGTTGGGTACGATGCCTGCGGCTGGTTCAGTGCCAAGACTTTGTACATATTGTGTAACTAATGAAGGACAATGTCGTATATGCCAGTTGTTTCCCTCCCAATAGGAAGGGCAGTACGAGACAGTGAAGAGTTGCTGGGTGAACACCAGTTTTCTATGTAGTGATTCAAATGCTGTACCAGGTACCTCAAGTTAAAGATATATGTAGGTATTCATCTTCTCAATCCCTGCCCCGGGAGACACTGGCTGTAAATATTGATGGCAGGTGAGGCACACACTCCAGGTGAAAAATTGCTACCGCCTTCCCTAAACCACCACCATTCTAAATCATTTCAGCCCCCATTTTTTAACCAGACCCTACCTAGCACTTAATCCTTGAAATTACTAGTACTGAAAACATGGCATATACATATTCCTTCTTGTTTAACTCTGGCAAAATGATAGTACAAAACAAATACCAAACAAAGCACATTTGTTTTCTATTTATTTAAATTATAATTTCAATAGTGTTTCTCAATACTGGAGATTAACTTTGTCCCTTTGAGAGTTTTTAAGAAAATGATTTTTTCAGGGTAGAGAATCTGAATTTTTATTTATCTGAGCCATCTCTCTTTCCAAAGAAGTAATTTATGGCCCTAATTCATAGGGAAATACTTTTCAAGACAAATAGATAATTTTGAATGACTGGACCTCATTTGTTTGGGCTTATCTGCTTTGGGATAGGAATCAGGAACCAGGCTGTCCTGAGGCTGCGTGCAGACCTGTTGAGGCTTGTCAAAGTGCTGGAATCTGTCTCGGTAATTAGTAGCTTTGCACCTTAAGAAAGGAGCTCAGATTTCTTTGGATTGAAGCGTGGGACATGCAGAGAGAAAGCCAAGGACAATAAGCGAAGAAATAGCTGAGCAGTAGCAGCCAAGAGGATTCTCATCACTCTGTGATTTAGGGTCACAGTGCAGTTCAGGAAGAACGTAGCACATTTAAAAGAGCAACCAAGGCAGAGAGTATGAACAGTGCAGTAAAAAACATTTACTTCCAGAAATGGACCGTTGAAGCCCTCTATAGACTAATATGCCTAAACGTCAAAAAGGATACAAGGGAAATGAACCTTTTTACCAGTGCCAGGTTCACTTTGTTCCAGGAACTGGATATTTCATAATAAGAATTGAAACAAAGGCCAAAAATGAAGCAATGGCAATTATTTTTCTAGATGGATTCTGGTCATCTTAATTCAGGCAACCAGTATATTTTATTCAAGCCTAGTTCTCTTTCTGTCTTTATTCAAGCCATGAAGTTTTAAGATAAACTTTGATAGATGGTAAATTATTTTAGTTTCTTTAATATTTATAAAAATGTAATAGTCCTAGAAGTTACTAGTACTAAAAGTCCTTATTCACTTTTTTGCCTAATTAGTTACTGAAATAACTGACATCAAAATATTTCCATATAATAAGGAATTATTTGGTAATGAAAATTGATCACTAATTGGTTAGTTTAAGTAGACATACTTTAAGTAATATTGATTGACTTTCAATGCCCATACGATACTTCTCATCAAAGTATAAATGAATTAACCAACCATTATAAATATTAAACAGATATGGAAGGCACTTATAGGAGTCAGCAGTACGACTTTCCTGTTTGCTTAATAAGCATCTACACAGGTCACTTCATGTCATGCATACTAACTTATAATAATGACTATGGTAATAATATATAACTTGAAAGTTAAGGGAACATTTCTAATTTGAATATCATTTTCATTTTACCCATTTACCCTAGACAGCAAGATTTCTGATTGACGTATTTTTGATCGGAAGTGTTTGATAATAAAAGATCACTTCCTTCTGCTTCCTTGAACTCTTAAAGCCAGATCTCTTATCTTTCAAACTCTGTTGACCAGTTGATGGGCCCAGTGATCAAAAACTGGGTGTGGTTGATAATATTCAAGTAACTTTTTCCTAACACCGACAATTCTGAAAATTCATGTTAATAATCCTGAATTGCTCTGGCCACCCAAAATCTGTGGACGAGTATGACCCAAAAGTATACCACCTGAAGTGTTACAACAGACAAACCTTCGAGTTTTAACAAGAATGGTACAGAAATATCTGTGATCCAAAAGTCTTGTAAGGTTTTGCCTTTAAGTTTTTTTTTTGTGATAGTGGGTATTTCCTTTGGTAACACAATTGGTCAGCATGGAAAGTAAAAGGCAGGCCATTCACAGGATTAACCCGGGGCCTCATGAGCACAGTGCGTGTGTGAGGGCATGCGTGGGCATGGCTCACTGCATGATTCCCCTTGGCCATCATTGATTTCCTCCTCCTCATTAAACACTCATTGATTCTTGTCTTCCAGATGACACAGGCTGTCCTAGCAGTCAGTCAGTGTCTCCTGTGAAGACGCCCTCGGAGGCTGGAAACAGCCCTGTCGGCTTTTGCCCTGGAAGTGATGAAGACTTTACCAGAAAGAAATGCGCAACTGGAATGGTTGGTGAGGGAAGCATCCAGTCAGCTCGCTGTAAGAAGGAGCCCAAGTCAGGCCTTGTGAAGCCAGGTGAGTGTTTGCTCTTCGTGTTCTTATCAGAGCAATGTGACTGGAGGGACTGCAAATGAGACGTGAAATGGAACACCTGGATATTGAGATAGGGAACACTAATGCAGTACCTGGTACCCAGAAACATCTTTTTATATATATACATATTTTATATTATATACATATAAAAAAGGTGGAGCAGAGAGTGGAATATTTTCTGCACTGGTTGTTAATAATTGAGAATGTATATTGACATATGTATCCATTAAAAAGACATTTAAAAAAAGGAGGAAAGTGGAGGAAATGTTAACTGAAGGGTCTAACAGACACTGAAACTATATAATTAAGTCTAGCATAAATTATTCTGAGAAGTTCCTTGGTACCATCTAAAGTGCACACAAATTGTGAAAAGAACTGGTTATCTTGATGCAGATCTGCAGGGCTGGACATACCTGCTAACCTAGTTATTCTATTTGCTTTTAAATATTTAAATATGAATAGGATACTTTATGTGTGTAGACATATACACATAGAATATTCAATAATTTCAAAATTGTTAAAGCTGTGAGATGAAATGGAGCTCATTATTGCAGTGAATGCGATGCCATGAACATCAGAAAAGGTCAATTCTCAGAATTTGCGATCTATAAATAAATATTTTACATCTCATAAATATACAGAGTATATTTATGAACAAATATAGTTTTAGTGAAACGTAAGTTATAACTTGAAGGTAAAAGGATCTGAGCGTTGGCATTGAGAAACAACCCTTATATTGCATTATTTTTTCAATATCACCAGTTATACTACACATGTCTATGAGCCTGAAAAGACAGATTAATGGCTTGTGTGAGTCTCATTCCTCACATTTGTCTTCTAATTTTTGTTCTGTGATGGCTTGTTGTGCAAGGGGCTATAGATGGCTTTATTTCAATGGAGCCAGGGCTTGGTCCTCTGTCTGCTTCCATTGGAAGGTCCTGTGTCCTCTTCCATCTCCCTCTGTTTTTGTTCTTCCTGAATAAGTGATATGCATAGCATATCTTAATGGTCTTTTCTTCATCTTGTTCTTGGCCAACCGAAGAGAATGTCATTTGGGCTCAGAGTTTAAGTACTGTGTGAAGTCTGCTATTTCCTAACAGTTCCTGGCAAATGTTAGTCATGATGAATTTGTTAATATTCTTTTGATTTGGAATAATATAAAAAAGAAAGGGAATGATACACAATGGAAAAGACAGCATATGAAAAGAAAAATGGATATTGTGGATAAAAAGGGTGTTGGGTACCCCCAATACTTGAGATGGAGACAGTGAGTTAATGTCATACAATTATAGCCAAGAAATAAACCATTACCTTGTGTACTCAGCAGTCAGAACTGCCTTCCTTCCCTCAGCACAGTTGTCCTTTTGTTAAATTAAGATACAATTTACATACCATATAATTCACCCTTTTAAAATGTACAGTTCAGTTGGTTTTAATATATTCAAAAGATTGCACAAACATCACCACTATCCAATTTCTGGACATTTCCATCACACTCCCTAAAAAACCCCATACCCATGAGCAGTCACTGTCCACTCTTCCTTTCTCCCCTGGCAACCACTAACCTACCCTCTGTCTCTATGGGTTTGCCTGTCCTGGGCATCTCGTATAGTGACTCATACAACATGTGGCCTTTTGTGTTCGGCTTCTTAGCATGATATGTTCAAGGTGCATCAACGCAGCATGTGTTAGTACCTCTTTCTTTTTATGGCTCAGTAATATTCCATTGTATGGATATATCACATTTTAAAGTAGACTTTTGGGAAGCAATTTTGGGTTGACAGAAAAATTGAGCAGACAGCACAGAGAGCTCTCACACACCCCCTCACTCCTCCTACCTCCAGCTTCCCCTGTTATTAACATCTTGCCTTAGTGTGGTGACATACCACATTTTGCTTATCCATTCACCGTTAATGGACATTTAGGTTGTTTCCACTTTGGGGCTATCATGAATAATGGTGCCATGAAGATTCACATGATAAGTTTTTGTACGTGCTTTCAATTCTGTTGGGTATATAACTAGGAATGAAATTGGTAAGCCATATGCTCACTCTCTGTTTAACTCTTTGAGGAATTGCCAAACTGTTTTCCCAACTGGCTGCACCACTTTACTTGCCACCAGCAATGTATAAAGGTTTCAATTTCTCTGCATCCTTATTAACAGTTGTTATTGTCTGTCTTTTTATTATACCCACTCTCATGAGTGTGAAGTGGTATTTCATTGTGCTTTTGATTTATATTTCTCTAGTGGCTAAAGATGATGAGTATCTTTTCATGTGCTTATTGGCCATTTGTATATCTTCCTTGGAGAAATGCTCTCAATTTTCTTTTAACTGAGAAGTAGTCACCAATAAAGTCTGCTTCTCTAATGTACAGAATGTAAGTTGAAGAGCAGAAGCCCTGTCATCCTCTTTTTGTATTCCTAGCACACAGGGTCCGGTGTGTATCGAGGGCACAATCAACATTTGTTGACCTCAACAGCAAAGGTAGGCTATGGGGTTGAGAGTATAAAATGGTGCAAGAAAGAATGTCAACTTCATGGATTGCAAAGAAAAAGCAGATTTTTATTGTGACGGTATTGTAGGATTTGAGTGCAACCTGAAATTATTTCATTTTTGTTATTCACCTCCCTCTCCTCCCCAGCCTCACTGCAAAAACATTTTACAGTGATGGCAATACAGTGAAACAGTGAAACAAGAAATAAGTGTGGTACAGCAGGAACAAACTAAGTTTAAATGGCAGTTGAAGATTATACTTGCCCTTCCTTGTTTCAATAATCATACGAATAATCGTATCTTAATGTAAGATTGAAGACCCTATGTGTATATAGAGAAGTCACAGTGAGCAAGTCTCTGTTCCTATGGAAGATACTCACTTACTGAAAACCAGCTACTTGTCTTGCTGAGATTGTTTAAGGCTTATGTCCTTACGAAGAAAATGCAGACAAAAAAGGAAAAAAAAAGAAGAGGAGAGGGAAGGGAGGAAGGAAGGAAAGCAAGAACAGTTGTTCTTCATGCTGGGGTTTTTTTTTATGTTAATCCCAACCTCCTAATTTATCCCCGCCCCCCAGCCCTTTCCCATTTGGTAACCATAAGTTTGCTTTCTATGTCTATGAGTCTATTTCTGGTTTGTAAATAAGTTAATTTTTTATCATTTTTTTAGATTCCACATATAAGTGATATCATATATTTGTCTTTGTCTGACTTTACTTAGTATGATCATTGGTCTATCCATGTTGCTGCAAACGGCATTATTTCTTTCTTTTTATGACTGAGTAATATTCCATTGTGTGTGTGTATGTGTGTATATATATATATGTGTGTGTGTGTGTGTGTATACACATATATATACCACATCTTCTTTATCTAGTCATCAATTGATGGACTTTTAGTTTGCTTCTTTGTCGTGGCTATTGTAAATAGTGCTGCTATGAATATTGGGGTGCATGCATCTTTTCGAATTAGAGTTTCCCATGAAACCTCAACTAGTATATGATATTTTGTGCATATTTTTCTGGAGTATGTGTCCATGGCCTTCATGTTGTTTTGACTAATGGATCCTTGGAGTATCCTGAAGGCAATGGACCCATACTCCAGAAAAATATGCACAAAATATCACATACTGTTTCTGAGGTTTCATGGGTCTCCTTTATTAGGATCTAGGATCCCTAAATGACCCCGAGGCAGAGCCTGAAACACCTCTTTTGTCAGCGCTTCTGATTTAATTGCTCATAGGCAAACATCACCTAAGTAGTGCTTACCTTGTGATCTTTTGATTTATTTGCATTTTGTCAAGGTCAGAGGCGTAACTAAAGTTTATTTCTCAGTTGCCTGAAATTCCTAATGTCATCACTAAAAACATTGCTCGAGCTTTTGAGTGGGACCCAATTCTGTACAGTAAGCTCTTTGTATTTAGAACAGTCTGCACCGTGACCTACCGTTCTCTGAACTTTCAGCAGGATAAACCCATCAGTCTCACAAATATGAAGAGAGGAAATCCTGGAAACGAGGTCCCTGAGTGACTCCAGAATTTATAAAATGCAGCATCATAATCTGTTAAACCACAAGAAGACACTGCTCTCAAGTTAATACATTCCTCCTCCATAGCCCCAAGTGGCCATCTCCCCACAGCCTGAACTCATTGTCCAGTCTTGATGTGCGCCCTACTTTTTTAAAATAAATCGACTCATTAGAACCAATACCAGTTTATTAAAATAGCAAGCAATTAGTGTCTCTTAGACAGATGTTCCAGGGCCGTTTAACATTAACCTGCGCCCATTTAATTTTAGATCCACTGTTCTAGATTCTGGAAACTGCTGTTCACCTCAGAAAGGAGTCATTGAAATGACCCTTTGGTCATTCAGACCAAGAGCTAATAATGTTTGCTGAGTATCTAATGCAGAAAGAGAAGGTCAAGATGTCCCAGGATTCCAGGAGGGGCTTAGAAAGGGAGCCGAGCCGCCCGCACCTTTCCAGCAGGACACTCGGCACACACAGCAGGAAAGCCCTGCCTCCCCCGGGCAGGACTTGTGCTGGAACCTCTTGGAGGCAATGAGCCTTCTGTCATTTTGGCTTCTGTCACTTAATGCCTATGCAGATTTAATTAAAAATTGCCACCAAAAAGCAAAAGAAAACATTCCTATAGTCCAATTGGATTATAGCCTTGCCTTTTTCATGTTTTCCTTTTATCTACAAGTCAATTCAATAACCACTCAGGACTGAATCTCCAGAGCTAATACAGTGGCTGTCATAACATAGGTGTTCATAAATACTTCAGTGAGAATAGAGGGTACAGGGAAGGCTGTTCAGTGTGGAAGAGCGTGGGAGAGCTGGGCAAAGAAGACCTCAGCATCATCCCTGCTCTATGGACCTTACTGAAGGCAGAAAACTGTACGATAAATCTGGTCAGTAGTGCCGATTAAAGGGGAAGGGATGAAGGCATTCTGATTGCGAACTTTTTGAGGGATCTGCAGCGTTCACATCCTTCTCCCAGGAGCTTCTCCTGTATTTAGTTCACAGTCAGTTTTCCTGATGAGATTTTTTTTACCCAGAAAGGAAAGGCCTCATTGGAGTTCTATGCCAGTACCTGAATGATGTTCCTGGGCCTCCTTTAAGACTTGATTTCCTACCTGGGAAGCATCCTAACCCACAGAAGAAAAAGACCCAGCATCATTTTTCTACAAATGCAAGTGCTAAATCCCTTCCAACACCAGGCTTTTTGGAGAGCTGGGCAAACAATTACACAGTTTAAACAAATAATTAGAAAATGTGAAAGTTAAAAAAAAAAACCTGCCGATTAAGGAGATAGGTAAAGAGCAAATGGTTAGGGCCAGTCCAATTGAAAGGAAATCCACACTTAGAAACTGAAACGTTGAAATCTGCTTTTGAAAGATGTCACCTCTGCCATGCCATGGGCATTCAAGCTAAGTTAGTATTCCCTGGTCATCAGACACCGCCCAGGCTGTTGAAATTGGAGACCGGGCCAGGTGAACTCTAATGACCTCACAACAATGACGGAGGATGGGTGACTTTAAAAAGACGATTTCCCACATTCAGAGGCGTTCACTTGAAAACTCAGAAGGCACCAACTGGGTTAAGTGATCAATCAGCGCTGCTTCCCTTAGTAGATGGAGGCTCTTCCGCACGCAGCTGATAGCCTGCAGATGTTCTGTGCTTATCACGAGCATCACCCCTGTCACTTCACAGTTAGTTCTGTGAAACAGAAGAGAGCGAGACAATTTACAGGGTGGGTGGGAGTGGGTGGGGGCAGACATGCGTGGAACAACTTGAGCGACAAAGAGGAGAGTCAAGAGCTTAGATCTACACAGCTCCTCCCCAGGTTACCCAGCTTGTTGTTTCTGGCAAGAAAAAAGTGTGTGTGTGTGGGTGGGGCAGGGCTGGGGGGACACTTTCTAACCACTGGCCTCAGGAGTCCAGTACACTAGGCTCACATCTTCATCTCACCCCCTTATAACTGTGCACTCTTCAGCTACTAGTTATGTCCCAGAAACTTGGTGTTCTGAATCTGTGAAATGGGCTTTTGTGAAGGTTAAATACACTAAAGGATGTAAAATGCCTGACATTGGACCTGGCACCAAGTAATTCCTTAGAAAATGTTAATAATGGTCATGTATTGCTCTTAAAAGAGTTACCAGAAATTCCTTGCACTTTGTTTACAGGAAAACCCTTCAAACTGTCACACAGGACCTATTGTTTATTTAAAACAAAATTCTATCCCAGTTCACATAAAATGAAAGGGTGTTTGCCATAGGAGGGCACTAAAAAGAGAATGAATTGACAGCTGATGGCCTGACAATGAGGAAAGAGACGGGAACAAATGAAAAAGCAGACAAAAGACCACTTAAAAGCACAGTGGCCTTTAAAGTGTTCTAGGGCCTTAAATGTTTTGTAGCACTTAATGCAATAATTAACGTTCTAGAGACAGACTGAGTCATTGTGATGGTGGAGTTGGCAGAAAATGATGTGTATGAGGGCAGGAAGATGTCTTCAGCATTTTAGAAATATTTTTGTGGAGCGGAAAAATTAAAATTTTAGTGCTGAAAGAGATTTTGGTTATATGGAAACTTTCTACATTCTTTGGCAAGGCAATACTTATTCTAATAGCTTACAGTTTCAATCAAAGGTCTTCCAGCAAAACCCAGGCTCAAATAAAGGCTGTAATCTATTTCAGATACTGAAAGCCTTTTGAAGGTATCTGGAAGAATATATTAAAAGTAACTGTGGGCTTGCATGACCCTGAAGTTTGATTAAAAATTGTTTTAGCTAATACTTATTGAGCCCTGACTGTCCCAGGCAAAATTCCAAGCACTTTACTCATTTAATCCTAGTATCAGTGTGAGAAAAGGATCTCATTATCCCCAGTTTTACAGATGGGGAAACTGGCATAGAGAGGTTAATTCATCCAAGGTTGCACAGTTGGATGTGTCGATTTTAAACAGCGTAGTCTTATTCCTAACTCTTAACCACTGCACAGCTTGTAAGGTCTGACTTCCAAGAAATAACTCACTGAATTGGGGAAGGGGGTAATACGTGAGAAAGATAGAAAAGAGGGCTTTTTAAAAAAAAATCTGTAGAACCCTGTAAATTAACTGATACAGTCCCTGTATAGATTATGCTGGCGGTTGCTGATAACAAAATCATTGAACCTCAGAGTAACAACAATGAAATACAGAAAGTTGAACACAGAAGGCTGTTTGGATGCAGATCAGTAAAATAAACCACGAGGATGAGAACATCGAAGGCGTGTTAAGGTCTCGAGTGTTTTCCACTTAACCACGGACTAGTCCTTTCTCCACTTGTCACCATAGTTTATGTGCTGCCTGCCTGTCATGAATACTTTCGTAACCAAAGATCATTAGGTTTTGTCAACTTAAGTAAGAGCTTTTGCGTGGATGCTGAAGAAGATCTCTGAAACTTTCTTTCACTCTGAGAGAAAGAATGTTCCCCCAGGACACAGCAGAGGATGC